AGTCGCCTAAAACAACACCGCAATAACTTTCATTTAACTGAATACGAGCACCTCTACCTATTCGTATCTAGTATCATAACATGGTTGTAAGGACATGAGCTGTCATGTCGGGAGGAATTGTGGGAAAAACTAGTTTCAACAAATATCACAGTCCTGTAGGAAGAACAATGCATGAAGATCTTGAAAAACATAAAATCACCCTAAAACGAGATAATAATAAAAATAATAGATGAAAAAGAAGACATCAAGACGAAAATTGCATGAAAGTTCATCAGATCATACAGGCATTTTGTCGGAGGCCGATTTATATCGACATGCTGACATGGGTTTTGCCAGGACCAAGAATACCTACGAGAATTGGGACACACCAATATGTATTTGAATGAAATGAGGATGAGGAAGGAAAAGGGAGAACACGATGAATATTGGCAAGGAAGAGGATGAAGGAGATTTACGAGCGAGGATCCCGGGTTGGGACATCATCTCTCTCCCTCCCCACAAAAGGGGGGTGGGGGAAAGGGGGCTGATTATGATCTCCATCATAACGCCAAACCCCCTCGCCTCGTAATGGAATGAAATCAGCTGGGGGGAGATGGACGAAAAGGAGAAGGGCGGAGAGTGTTAAATCAATTATTGGAGTCGGGGGAGGGAGATTATTAATCATTGTTATGGATTCTACCCATTCATGGGGATTATACATAGGCTAATGTGCTCAAATCCACCTGATTCCGCCTTCGCATCAACCAACTGTTGGTTTCAACCCATTCTCCCTGTACGAGTGTATATGTTATCAGTTAAGAAAGGCAATCCCTCCTTATAAAAGGCGGAGTATTTTCATCTCTATCATCTACCCTTTTTCCCCATGTCCCCATAACATGCTACTGTACAACTGACGTTGGAATTTTCGCTAATTATTCAATTTCCCTCTGATTTTTTTAACATAAAGTCAGGACGTGTGGCGGATATCAATAATAATGGAAGTATTACGCTTCAGAGAAACGGAGGGGTGCCCGCTTGGTACAGGCCCCACAACACACAGATAGTCCCTCAGATATGGACCATCCTACGATCCTGAAGGAGGCCATAAGAAAATATATCACAAATTGTCTATATTCACGACTGGCACGAGTGATTTTTAAGCTTATTGCATTCGTGTTTCCTAGACCTGGCACCCAGAATGGCGCTTGTTATCCCGACGTTAGGCAATGACTCCCCATGGAAGCAGGTGGCTCGCCTGTCGGCAGAGACAGAGGACGCTGCCACCCGGGCTCGATCCTCCCGGGTTTCCCTCGGAAGCCCAAACCATTCGGCTAAAGGATCCGGTTTTATTTTCCGCTTCGTTTTCTCGTGCAAACAGCACTAAGCGGGGGAACAAAATTTGAAGTTTCCAGTTCGCTCGCGATCGCGTGAACTTTCAGTCCACGTAGTCCACTCGATATCTTCTGGTAGTCTTGAACCCTCACGATTGTTGGCAAGGTCTGGCCATAACAGGAATGGTTTACCACACTCCTCCGCTCATGAACAGCAAAAGGAATGAAAAAAGAGAACCAGGCTGGGATCGAAAACGCTCCTCGGCGAATGGATTCAACCGTTCAGGGATGATAACATGTTATAGCTAGCGTATATAGATGCACGGCAGGTGGGTCAGGGTGGCCATGCGTTGCCTGCTCCATGGCCACTCCAATTCTCTTTTAATACTCTTCTCTTACTCGTTTTAAGAATATGCTGAGAAATCGAATCAAACAGAATCTGTTCCTCTATAAACCAGTACTGCACGTTTAATACCACTTGACCTTTCGAGTTTCATCACGATATTCTCGAAATAGTCCACCCGGAACCGCGCCGTTAGCGATACGGAATGACAACGATGAAAATAGCTAGCAATGGTTCACTACGGTGCGTGAAAACGGCAAAATGTAGCTCAATAGATGTGGGAGAGGGAGAGTTCATTCTCGCCGGTACAAATAAAGCAAATAGGCCTACGTTCAAGTTTAAAGTCCGGCTCTCGAATATACAGGTGCGATTCTTTTAAAGTCCTTGAAATAGTGAAATCGACGTATATTCCTCCATATGATTCTTAAAGTAACTGTAGCGTTACGTCGGCATAGAGCATATTCACAGAATGGTGTTGCTCCTAGGAGATGTGATTGCAGATTCTCTTGGCAATTCCTACAGGCTAATTTTGCCAAAGCTTAATTCTTTCACTACACTGGAACCCAGAAGCTAAACTCATGAACAATTATCGGAAGACTAAGGCAGATAATGAATGCGCTACAAGAGTGATGGTCGCCAATAACTGCATATCGGTAATTCGGGTTGTATCAGTAAGCCTCAAAACATAAACCTCGAAATAATACGGATCCCAATTTGGGCTCAATCTTGAGTACACCAAACTATAATTAATGCCAGGTTAGTAATTCTGATGAGATACTGACTCGAGATCAAAACTTATGTCCCATGAGTTTGCCATCCTTCTTTCAGTAGCGTAACTGCCGATGTTTGCTTGAAAAAAAGGGGGAGAATCCTTAAGAGTGGAAAATGACTCATTTTCAAGTCTTACTTTCAATATAAAATATTGTATACATTTTATTAATTTCAATGTATGTTACGTGGGTCATATTTCTTCACAGTTTTAATAGCATTCATTAAGGAAATTTAATTCGTTACGGGTCGTCCATGCAACGAACGGTCCATTTGATAAAATTCTCTTCTGTCTTCACAACAGTGGAAGCCAAATCAAGTTAAATAAAAATAAGAGTGGAATCCAGAATAGGAAGGAGGGATGCAGAGGGGACATATGTGGGTGATCTCCCTCGTTTTGTTATCTATGGCGAGAGAAAGAAGGCCAGTTGGCCGCCAGGATCCCTTCTCCATCATCATTCATGTAATAAAGAAAAAGATGAGAGCACCGGGTTTTGCATTTATCCAAGCGTATCATTGCCGACATAAATAACATTGTGGATGGCCGCACCCCAAAATATACGTACCCATGTCCCCATGATTGCATCTCCTTCCCTCTCCTGCATTTGAATTTTCATCATTCACTTCCATCCAATCCACAATCATTTCTCATCATGCGTCCTTTTCAAAGCTAATTTATTCATTGGACGTTTTTTGGTTCTATACTTCGTGGCTGAAGCCTCTTTCGCAGTACCGTTTCTACCTCGTGTGAAGTAGATTCTTTGCTGTCAGAAGCAGATAGTGCGTTCGCACTATGTTCCACGAGCAGACGGAGGTGAATTGAACAGCCGCATTGTCAACGGTGGTGGGCTGGTTTCTCGTGCTGCCAGCCGTGACAATGCCCCAAAGTAAAACCTTCACGTTAAGAAGCTCCTCCAGCAAAAGAAAAATTGAACCTTAAGCAAGAATCTCCGGTTTTGTTGTGCAAAAGCAAAATGGTAATAACTTCCCCTCATTCGAATCAATCTGCCTTCCGCCATTCCACGTTTTGCCTTCCCCCTCGCCTTCTGAGTGGAGGTAATGCCGTTTTGTCATTCTCCTCTTGCCACTGGATAAAGCCAGATTAAAACTGAAAACACAGCGGATTATATTACTTTTCTTTGAGGTTTCCATCCAGAACTTGTATCGGAAAAATTCGGATTTCCAATCCGCTGGCTTTGGACGGCAGAGCTAAAGAGCGTTTGAGGTGGAGAATCTCTCTATACTTGGAGAATCTTTTATAGTTGAGCAACGTTTGGATCTTCTTAATATTAAGAATCTTTAGTTGATGAGAGTCTGAACCTTCTTGACGTGAAGAGTGTAAGGAGCTCCTTCAGGTGAAGAATCTTTAATCGAAATTTTTCTCTTCAGCGAGAATGTCTGAAACATTTTCAAATGGAAAAATGGACTCTTGAATCTTCCGCATGTAGAAAATCTTCGGCTGGCAGGGTCTGTACCTTCATAGGTACCAAAGCCCCAATAATGGTTAGTCATCCGAAGAAAGTATGAACGCAAGAATAATTGCATTCACTAAAAAAAAATACTTGCGGTACCTGAAGAATGTTCTATAGTTGAAGAACGGCAGGACGAACATAGCGTTATGTGGTGGAAGAATCTGGACTCAAATATTACGTTCCTGAACCGATCGGTTATCTCTTTTTCATCACGTTTCCCAAGGAGGAAAGTTCGAGATCGTACCGATCACGATTGAAACTTCCTTTCAAATTTCACAGCTGAAAAGGAGAAAAGAATTAATGCTGACCGTGTCGAACAACTTGTAAATTCCATCTGGCGTTCCCGATGATCAAGGGACATCTGGATCGAGGGAAAGGGCGTCACGTGCAACGGAGCCTAAATCAAAGCCGTGAAATTCGCGCATGACCATGCAAGCAAGCCTTTCTCCATTCCCCTTTCAGAAAAAGAATCCGTGATTAAAATGTCAAGCCCATTTCAATGGAGTCATATGGAGCGGAGTGCGAGGGGGGAAGAAAGACCTACAGTAGACCTCCCCCCTTTCGCTTTAATAGCGCCTAATAATAAATTCATTGAACCATAACTGCATGCATTGCATGCCCAGCCCCCCACCCTCTCGATCTCTCTGCATGCAACACGAGAAAGAGACGCCGGCTGTTCCTGATCTTGAATTTCCACACGGAAATTCATACCGGATCATCCTCGGCGTTGGCCCATCCACTTCCATTTTTCTATCCAGAGACTCCAAAATGGATGAAACCATTAGTCCATACCTCCCTGGGTTTCAATTCCATGCATCTAACTAGTCCCAAAAGTTTCACGAGTGGAGGATTCATTTTCTGTATTTCCCCTCACTAACTTGGCTATCACGATCAGATTGAATGGAGTCACAATGAATATGCCTGAATGCATGGGAGATTTGAAAGTCAGTTCCGTTCTCAACACTGCCGTTGATGATGATCCTGGCAGACAGATGCAGCAAAGGGTGTCCTCTAGAATCGAGATGAGAAAAAAAAACCCAGCCAGACTTGAAAAGAAGGGATCTATCCGGGCGTGATGCTCCTCTAATCTCATCACATTCAGCCTTTTCACAGTCCCTTCCCTGTCACATCCAATCCTGTCTCTTCCCTTCCCTTCACCAAGGATACAGGGAACGAACCAGGGTCCATTCTTTCTATAGTCTCTTTCTCCCAGTCTAGATTGACGATGGGTCAGATGGAATGGCGGTGTCCACCCATCACAAACCAGAGTGTAGGCTACCCTTTTTTCCCCCTTCTCTCTTCCGCCTCATCGCTCAGGATCTCTGTCCATGACAAATGGAGGCCCGATGCAGGAGAAACGATTCACCGCGAATCTCCCATTCATGCATGAGCACCAACTATCATCGCATCAAGCTTCCCTTCAAAAAGAGAACCTTCCTCTGCAGTTGAACTTTTCTTTGAAACGACCCCGAAGCACGTACCTCGAGAGAAGGTTAGGTGGGATCGAGTCCACTCTGATCGGTGGAAGCTCTCGGCTTCGCTACCCACTACGTGCATACCGCGCGGTCTCCTCACCGAGCATCAAGCAGCCAAAAGGAAAATACCTGAGGGCATCCTGGACCTTGAACCAGTGAGACTCCGGTGCGGAAGGCCTGGCTTCTTGGAGTCCTGCAAACACGGTTGCCAACAACTGAAGGAGTCTAGAGGCCACTGGGTCCGGCTTCCAAGGCCGGCCCGGATCCCCGCTATTTCCACCGCCAGGCAGAAAACTTGCATTATCTGGAACCATTTCCTGCAACACATCATACAAAGTCCTAAATGTCTTCTGCACAACTCTCTGAACAGCAACTGGTAAAAAAAATTATATGGATTCCATGAGATAAAGGTTTGAATGGAGAAGCAAGCTTGGGAAGCATAGCTCAGAATTGGCCATCTTTACTCAAAAGGGCAACGGATCATCCCATTTAAAAAAATATTGTTTGCATCTTTCCTCTACGCGTCATCATACTACAGTAGCTTTCGCTGTAATTTACTCTTTTTTTTTCAGCTATCGTTGAACAACAATAAGTGGCAACTGATAAGGCAGAAAGGAGGAACGTCCATTTCTTTCAGCGAGAACAGACAGACAAAAAAACCCACAACTATGATTCAATTTTCATGTCTCGAGCGCTGGCACTTCTTTTTGGAATCGTGTATTGCACAGCAAAAATACCTGACGAAACGAGGAAATGGCCAGAAGCGTAGATACGCTTTGAAGGCCACAGGAATGCCTTTCCACTCTGGAAACGGAAGACAAGAGGGGAGGAGAATAGATTTGATGGAAGAGTCGGGATGAAAGGGAGCAGAAACAATAGAAGGACACACTGACAGCGGTCCATCATCCACCCCCTCTGACGTGAACCTACAATGAATGAATCATCCTCAGGGCCCAGGCGCTCCGTTCCCATATGATGTGCTTGATGTCGGTGTTTCTCCTTTCGGGGAAAAGCTGAGCTTTGGGAGATTTTGCTGGAGAGAGGAGAAAAGAGAATGCATCTCTGGCAAGGGGAGTAAGAGGAGGGGAGTGTCACAAGTCATGAGTGGATCCAGGCTCAGAAATGGCTCTAATCCAGTTACAAGGACCAAATGGTTGGAGAAGAGAGGGGGGAGGGGAAGCATGGTGGGGTGACCCCCCCTCTTTTCCTCTTTCGCATCTCTTATCATCAGTAACTGAGCCCACCATTGTCTATTCATTTCCAGGGAAATCTTGCCACTCAAACAATCTAAAAAGTGGTGCAAATAATGATAACTACATTGTAAGAATCTTGGCACTCCCTCCTGAAGACAGAACTCTCTTAAGAACCATGTCAGGTCTTGTATACTTACACTGCATGGTAAACATCTTCGGAGATGGCAAAAAAAAAACCAGCTAGCATGAGCGATATGTTTCTTGGCAAGTCAAACTGTCAAAGGAAGCCACTTAGCACAAAGGAACCACATCCCAGGATATACGCTTTTGTACAAGAGAAACATGCAACATTGATTCAATATTAGCCAAATGCGCCAATCTGGAAGGTGCCTCTTCTGCAGATAATCCATATGGATTGCAGGAGCTTTAATGTTCGCCTCTAGAAGGCAGTTGATGCCAAGAATAGCATGGAAACAGTATAAATAGCATAAATTTGTTACTCAAACATTACTCCACTCAATATATGATCCTTAGTACAATAGAATCTTTCTGCAAATGATAAAAGAAACTATTTCCTCTGTGCCCATATTGACTTTAGCTGCATATTCTCAATAACAAGATGAACTGGACATGCAATTTGATATATTTGTGTTACAGACTAATGACATAACCTACTCCACTTAGGGTAAGAAAACAGCAAATATAGTTTCAAGTCAGTGCTTCTCAACAACCAGTCCCTCTTTAACATCTTGCTGATACATGATGACTAAGGATTGTGAACCACCACTAATAAGCTCATAGGCCATTTGCTAGTCTGCTTCCATTCTGCACATATTTTTCTCTCATTTTGAATCCTTTATTTCCCATTCTCAAGACTCCATGCCATAGGATGAACTATGAGTAACTATATTTCTTTTTTCCCCCATTTTCCAACAAAGGGCACTGTATGTAGCAACAGTTGAATGTTCATGTGGCGTAGGCTTCTGCCTCATAGAAATATTTTATGCTAATGTAAGCTGGTACTTTTCATTCTGAACAGCTTCCTTTCATTCTTTCATGGTTTTTGTTTGATGAACTTATTTTCAGATTTACTTTATAAAGTAAAAGGATACTTTCACAAAGTTCCTTGCATTGAAGCAAAAATATTCACACTCATAAAATGCCATACAATCAATACATTCTACTCATTAATCTTGCAACATCAAGTTTAGCTAATGTTGCAGCAAAAATATAAAATGAATATCACTTCAGTGTTGCATATATAAAACCACTAATTACTTCCATATTCAGGTTTTGCAAATGATTCATGATTCACTAATGTTACTTGGATTTGAGGTTGCCATGCCTACCCTGAAGTCTGCTATGATTTGCCCCCTTCATTCTATTTGAGGATTGAAGTCAAATGGCGTATATGACATGGCAGGGCATGATTATGATTGCATTGAACTACTAAATTGCACTTCAGAGAAACACAGCAGGTGAACCAGCAAATTTTGCTTCATCAAAGAATAATTCATGCTAAAAGAAAACTCACATTTAACTGCTTGAAGGCAAAGTCAATGAGATGGCTGATACAGTTACTCTGGAGAGTGAAAGATGCATTCTCAGCATTGTCCACACAGCCCAGGTGCCAGACAAAGGCAACACGAGACAAACACCTGATACACACAAAATATTAATCAGTGATGGATCAGATTGCCCAACATGAATCAATCATCATGAAACTAACTTAGCAGGGATAAGTAGTTTGTGTCCACTAGAGCGCAGGGTAGCCAGAAGCTCCAACAGCAGCTGAAAGCCTCCTCCCATTCTCAGGACATACTGGTCCTTCAAATTCTATCAAAGTCATAAGTCAAGTATTTATGAGTTTATGATCCAACAGAGGCATAGGCAAATAAGTATAATGAACAGAGAAAGAGAATGTGGACCTGGTGAGTGAGGATACGTTCAAGTCCTCCAAGTGCTCGATCCAAGGCTTGGGAGGATGCCTGGTCCCAGGGACCTCTCCCCTCATTTTCCTTCACTTTCTTCATCTCTTTCAATAGTCTTTCTATCTTGGATCCATTTGGGGCATGACCAAGTAATCTCTTCCCCTTCCCTTCCTCTTCAGAGGCAAAACATTTCATGTACTCCTCTCCTCTGTATTAGAAGCAGGAAAAGGAGTTATATCTTCCCCAATCTGCAGCATAGTTGCACAAAACAATAGATCCACTTCATGCCATTGCATGCTGAAATTCATGTCAATGCAAAGCTCTGATGGTAGGTAATCTCAGCTATGTTCTCCCATTCAATTATCAGTGGGGATGTATCCTGCTACACATCATGAAAAATATCTAAAGACTGATCAACATCTCCTTTAAGTTTGCTATATGCCTACTGCATGATGGTGTCATGGGACATCACATAGTTTATCCTGCTATACACCATGGAACAAGATTAAATTAAACTTTTATTTTTATGCCATTTTCTACTTTCCAAGTTTCATAATACAGGGTGATCAAAACATCATGCAACCCAAAATAAACCTTGCCATGACTAAAAGAAACAGCACTAAACATTTTATTCTTCCAGAATCAAGTTAAACCTTTGTAGCACCCATAACTTCGGTTTGAAGGCACAGTGGTAGTTGTTCACACAGCAAAGTCAGGGTTTACATGGTGTTCACAAGACATACAGTAGCTGCAAAGATTTCTGGATTGTGTGATTTATTACTTGGTCTTGTGATGAGGGGTATTGGATTTCTATTTTTCTGTATTTTTTTTTGGTTTTGAGCTTCTGCTCAAGAGTCATTATAGCATAATTATTTAAAAAATAAGTATTACAAAGCACTTTGATTGAATAATCACATCAAAGTAGGTCCAGATGAACTAGGGGTGCTTGAACCATTTCTGGAAATATATATATTTAAAATTTGTGCCTGGCAGTACATTATTTGGGTTTCTTTTTTAATTTTTATTATGAATATAACTTATGATGCTTGTTAAGATCTGTCATGGCCAGTCTTCTGTCAGTCGTTCACTAGCTATTAGCATGTGAAGATGAAGCAGAAGGAGCTCCTGTTACAGCAGCGTTCAATCATCCACTTCTTAACCTTTGAGGGAGTTATTGGAGTGGAAATCCACCACCATTTGAAAAATGGCTCAATTGATTGTCTCAACAACAAACTGAATTCAAAGGCAGGATTGATTCTCCTCTTTGAATCAATGAAATGTTCCTGGCTTAGCACCTCTGAAGAACTCACTGCAGACATAAAAATAAAATTTCTCATTGTCAGCTTCTAGCATTAGCTGCAAAACTGAGACATGAGTAGGTCTATAAAACAATTGCTGATTCTTATTCATATATTCTCACTTTCAGTAAATATACTCAGGAGTATATACAGTCAACTCTCAATATACTGCCACTGTTGGTCTCAGCCAATTTTGGTGCTATATGGAGGGTGGCACTGAATTGAAACTCATGGCTTTAAAATGGATAATTTTTTTCTAGTTAATATAAAATATGCATAAAATTTCACTTTAATTAATCCATGCTGCCAATGGTCCATGCCTCAGAATACACCAACTGCACAGCTTTGAAAAGGATTCTATATATTCCATCCATGATTAAATCCAATTACTTCTTATTTTTAATTAGTATAACTCCTATGCACCATCTACTAGCATTATTGTCCTAAAACACTGAAAAATTGTTCACAAAGTTTTGCTGACTTTTGACCACATTCGCCTCCTTCTAACAGCACACTTCCAATTTTCCTTTGCACTTAAAACCATCCATTTCCCATCACTAGATTGTGAACAAACTTGAACTGTCGTCTGGAGAAGCTGCAGATAATCTTAATGAGATGTTTCCATTCTCCAAAAGAAGAGACAGGATTAGGCAACCCTATATGCCCCTCTCTAATCTAAGGAGATTTATCCTAATGCTAAGTCATCACTCACAATCTTGCTATCTATCATGTGACTGAAAGGAGTAACTGGCAGCATTAAATTTTGTACACAATATAATGATTGTGGCTGGTATGTGCTGCTTGGTGTAATATTGAGTAAGATTTATGTAGCAATAGACACATTTGTGCAAGTGAAGGTGTTGGCGGATGGCAGTTAGTGAGGGTGACGCTATAATGGGGGAGACTTTGGTAAGTCTATGGGGAAGATGGATTCGTTCTCAGGAAAGAGCTGATGATAAACAAGAATGGCAGTATATCAGGTGGTGGTGTATCGAGGGTTGACTGTACTTCGGATATACAAGCCATTTAATAATGAAGGAACTTGAAAAAACTGTGCAAATAATGAACATTTTCCCCCTAATAATATATGTGGAAGTGACTACATGTCATCAGAACAAATGTATTATTGAGGAATCTCATATATTCCTCCTTAGTGGACTGGATTAGGCAAAAGCAAGTGTCCTCTCAACCTGGGTGGCACAAAGCACATCGGTAGGAGTAAAGAGAACAAACCGAGCAGCCATTCGTTGCCGGAGCTTACGACAGCGCTTGCGCAAGGCCTTTTGTCGTTCTTTGTCCAGTTGAATGTGAGGATCAATTTGGTCAGAGGGAGCATCCACAATGTGCTTCAGGTTCAGAACCCCAAGCTGCTCCCGTGTTGGGTTCATCCCTGAACTATGCTCACAGATGGCTTCCCTGTGTTTCCGCCCCTTCAAGTGACTGAGGAGGTACACCTCGGAACCGATCTGGTCAAAGGAACCAGAAATGAAACAAGAGTCTGCCAGGATCTGGGAAATAGGAGAAGGGAGGATACATACAAGGACATTGCAAAGTGTGCACATCTTCTTGGTCTCATAAGGAATGAGACGAGGTGCATCATCCATGGTAGAGGAACATCGAAGAACAGAAGATTCAAATGCTTTGCGTCGAATGTCCTCGATTTTCTCCTCATGCCGTCTTGCACTCTCTTCCTGTTTCTGCTGAATCTTTTTCTGCAACTCTTCAACAGTGGCTGCATGGGCTGCCTGCAATGCACACAGCCGCTCTTCTCGATCCCTGCCACATGCAAGTACACACATACCCTCATGAAGATTCTTGATTGATGGCCTAGAATCAATCAATAAAGAAAGAGAGGAAGAGCGATGCAGAAACCTGGCCTTCTCACGAGCAGCCTCCTGTCGTTCCTTCTCCTTCTCTTCGTAGAGATGGATCTGTTTGCGGCGTCTCTCGTGTCTCTGCTCGATGCGGGCCAAACGTTCTGCTTCCATTACTTTTCTTCTCTCCTCAGCAGCTGCCTCCTTGGCTGCTTTGTCCTGATGCTTTCTTTGTCTCTCTTCCTGAAGGTCTGCCAGTCGTGCTTCCTGAATCTATGATCCCCAGCACAAACATTTCTCCTCATGCCATGGCCATCCAAGATATAGGTTTTACCAGGTTAGACAAACATGTGATTCACTGTAGACCCACCTGGGACTGGGTTAGGAAGTCATGTCTCTTGTTCTGTGCCTCCAGGATGTTGATGAAAGCTATTTCTTTTGCTTTCTCCTCCTCATCATGTGCCTTGTGAACAATGTGTCGGAGATGACAATTGCGCTTCTCCTCGGCACGTTTCAAGTTCACTTCAATCATCCGACGATGATCATCCAACAGCTGGTTTTTTGTTGCTCGCACCTCTTCAATCTGCACCAACTCAATCATCAATTTCAAGAATTCCATGGAATGACAGAGAAAAGTCAATGAGGATATGAAGACCTTCTTTGAAAGCTCTTTGAGTTTGTTGGCTTTTTGTTCCAGAAGCTTTTCACGAAGTTCCTGGGCCTTAGCTTGCTTCTCCTCATGTCGTTTGAGTGTCTCCTCGGATGTCCGCTTCCGGACTTGGGTGGACAGCTTCTCATGCATTTGCATTGCCCTCCCAGGCTCTCGGGCTATTTCCTCCAGGAAGTCCATCTGGTCTCCCCAGGACATTCCTGATAACATACAAAATCATGAAAAACATTCTTTGAAAATACTTGAATTTATTAATTAAAAAATTATTGGATGATGTAGGGATAGAAACCAGAAAGAATGCTGTCATATTCCTCTTCAAGTGACCTATGATCCTGTGATTCCTTAGATTCCAGATCACCAACTTCCTCCTCTGCATCTAACATCTTTACCGAAGTCAGAGTAGAGTCATATAAAACAGCAAATTAATCAGCAAATAGCATTGGCAACAGAGTGACAGTGGTCCTGGGCCTACCTGAATGTCCTGCTTCTCAGTCTCAAAGATCTCCTTTTGAAGATTCTGCTCTTCTTGTAGGGCAGACTCAATGGCAGCATCACATGCCTTCAAAACAAGCATCACCAACATCAGCATTACAGGAAAGGATGCAATAAATGTGGCAACATTGACACACAAATTGTGAGCATCCTGCATACTCCTCTATTCAGGTACTTCTCATCTGAGTCAGATGATGAGGAAGACAATTGAACTTAGATGACCTAAATGATTCTCTACTATTTGTGCTCAACTTGCATGAGTGTCATGGACATTTCTTGCAAGCATAAATGTTGCTTTTGGGAGCAAGAAGCAGAATGAGGAATTCAAACAAAATTTAACCCTCATCCGGGCAAGCTTTTTTACAACCTATTCTGGGCAAGGTGAGTCAGTCAGACTCATGTAAAATAAGGCCGTTTGCTGCGGTTACGGTATGTATTCTTATAAATAACAGTACTGTAACTAAAATAATACAGACAATTTATTCAANATACAGTGCCCTTTGTTGGAAAATGGGGGAAAAAAGAAATATAGTTACTCATAGTTCATCCTATGGCATGGAGTCTTGAGAATGGGAAATAAAGGATTCAAAATGACAGTAATAGACCGAAATATGTCGTAGTGAGTCCAGCGGACTCACCTTGCCTGGATTAGGGTTAAACACTGGTTGCAGGGTACCCTCAAAAGGTACTTTTTTTTGGTTACCAGCATTTTCATCATGGCCTAAATGGTCGTGGACAATTCATCGCAGACAAAATGTTGCAAGCCCATTTTGTTGTTGCACTATATCGCAGACGCAGATTGTTGCACTTCCCTTGTCAAGGTGGCATTTCAGGGTGGGAAGGGGATGATGTCATATGATAATGTCTCTACCCAAGCAAGGCACTAGTGGTGCATTTTAGAATTAGTCACTTTGTATCTGTACAGTGAAAAGTTACCCTTCCTATTGCAGCTTTCCATCTCAACCGGGTTTTTGCAGACCCACAGGGGTCCATGGCAAGGCTTCATGTGGTCCATGAAACCATGACCAGACCAAAAATGAATAACGGGCAAAATAAGAAAATTTAAATTCAAAAAGGAAAAAGGAGGAGGAGTTCTATCAACTTCTAAAGTACATTCCTCAAAATCATTGGCACTAATTTTATAAGCTCACAAATTCATGCAATGGTGAAAGGGGACAGCACAGGTCCCCTCTATTCCAGAAGGTTCCAGAAGGCACAGGTTAGAAACAGATTGAGAACTGCTGCTGTAGATACTTTGATCCATTCCAGTGTCATGCCCATAGAAACTCAAGTTTGCACATGAACAGTGCAGCTCAAAAAAACATTGAAAATGACGGAAACATTGAATCCCTCCCTTTCCTTTCCCCTCCCATAGTGGTAGGAATCAGGTATTCTGGTTACCTCTTCCTTCCTGTGAAATTTTTTTAACCTTGTCTGCAAGCTAGTGTCACGCCATGCATGTGCAACGATCTGAGTCTGTGATGAAATAGTGCAATGATGAAAGCGCCAGTCATGCTTTTTTTAAACACTATAATGCATGATTTTTTTCTTATTAAGTGAAAAAAATCTAGTGGGTTTCACTGAGGGGAAAAAAAATTCCTTCCTGAAATTTCTAAGTTGAAGACACAAAAATTGCATTTTATTGTTGTTTATTGTTCTAATTTTTTTTTGGTTCAGAATGTAGCATATCTATAACACCATGCATTAGGTGGTTAACTTCCCTCTCATCCTCTTCCAAACAGATTCACAAAATTCACTTTACTCCATCAACAATGGTCAATGCTTGGACATGTGGACCTTTGTGAACTGAGTTTAAATTTTTAATAAATAAATATAGTCCACAGTAAATTGCAGCCTTCCAAAAGTTTTGAACTTCAGATCACTAGAGTACCATAGTTTCTCTTTCCTCCAAACCATATGAACACATATGTCACATCATGGCCAAATGATATATGGTCTTCCCTTCCAAAATAGAATCTTCCATGACATCAATGCAGCTGGATCTCAGTGGCCAGGAGAGAAAAGATAAATAGTGGATCTCACCTTCATTTCTTGATACTGCTTCCTATCCTCCTCATCCTCTTCTACTTCATCTTTCTTGCCCCTAGAGAAGAAATTGAATTAGGACTTCAAATTGTTGATAGGAAACCAAGTTAACCCCTTCACTGGCATTCCTAAAAAATTTTTGCGAGCATCTTTTTGATGTCTGAAAACCTGTCAGTGAAGGGGTTTAAGAGTAAAAATTCAGGAGTTCAGCAACACAGCCCAACGATTCTCAATGGCATTGACACTGGCATCAGTAATTGAGGGCACTCACTGATCTTCAAGAGGAAAATCAGTCAACTCCATCGTTTCCCTGACAGATTTAACTTCATTCCTCAATTCCAGGTCAGTGGTAGCATCTTTAGGGCAAACCCTAAAGCAAAATATACACAATGAATGAAGAAATGTGACGTTCTCCTTAGTAGAGAATCTGGGAGAGAGCTCACTCTTCATTGAGTTTTCTGCTACTTGGGTCACTCTTTTTCCTCTCTGGATTTCTCCCTTTCTCAGTCCCATTCCCTTTCTGCTGCTGCTTTGTGGCATCCCTGGAGAGACAGATAGAGATACTACAAGTGTGTCAGCAGGGAAGACATGAAGAGAATGGAAGGATCAAACCGGTAGGCCTTGGTTGTGAGATCCTTTTTGCTTGATCCATAGCCTGATCCCCTTCCAGCAGTCTTTGTTTGTTGTCCTTGACTTGATGTATCCACCTCCTCCTCTTCTTCATCCTCCTCCTCCTCCTCTTTTCTCCCCTCCTTATCCTTCTCCTCTGAAAATTGCTCTTCTACCAAATTCAACAACTATCAATATGCAGAGTAAATGCCATCATAATCTCTCTAACCTAGAAGAACCACATATTGCATAGAGAAGTGCAGAAAATGCTGTATCATATGCAAATAATTTTAAACAATGAAAGCATATGTGGCTGATTGTCCAATGTCTGGTGATACAAAGGTAGTGGTGCATTTGATTCCAGTCTTGCAACTATTTCAAAACAATGGAGAAAAGAACTTCCCGCTGGCTCCTGTAGAGAGGTAGTGTATGCACTCTTCACTGTCTACTTGCATTATCTCCACTGTTTTTATTCATTACACATCCTGCTTCAATCATGGTTTCAAAAGTAATATAAGAGAAAAACTATGAGCATTTCTTATCATAATGCAAAACAATAAAAATTCAACTGTTCTGTTTCATTTAAGAGCAGAGTTTCAAAGTGAGTTGATTTTATTGGATCACTATGTAGTGGGTCATCCATGGACTGGGATAGGCTATTTCATCAACATCACCATTTCCTAGAAAAAGTTAGTGCAGATTAAATTTTAAAAAAGTCATGAAGAAAAAAAAGTACCACTAGTTCATTTACTCATCAATGACAATAGTTGGAAAACGGAATCATAGTAGTTTACATGAAATCAGAATAGTTACTTGAAAAGTGACTGACTACAATGGCATGAACATTAATTTTATTTTTAATGGCAATAGTAGTTACAACTGCTAATCATGTAGAAGCAAATCAGTTAAAGCAGCATATAGCTGACTGATGACCATCACTTCAATCAATGCAAACTGTAGCAGAAGTTCAAAGCCTCTGCCTGAGCCACCTTCCAAACCAAATGAGAATGAGATTTTACTGCCTTACTTGGAGATGGTCTCTGTGAATGTGAAGGAGATACATGGCTTGTATCCTGATCGATGATAACAACTGAAGGGAGAGACATGGCAGAGCTGGGGATGTGCATGCGCCACTTTGAAGAAACACCCTTGTGTCCCAGTCCAGGGCTCACATTGCTCCTGCTGGCTTGTTGGACATTCTCTGTTGACCGAGATACATCCCCTGAACCAGCATTTCTAGCTTGGCTCCGTTGAATGTGCTTGGAACGGGAACGCCCCTGCACCATCTCCCACCCATCTTCATCAACTGAAAAGAAAATTAGCCCAATTATAATACCTTATAGTGTTTGAAAAAAATGAAAAGAATGACTGCAATAGAACAAAAGGGTGTCTCATAAGTATGAAGTCATTGAGATATCATCTTTCTTGTGTTAGTTTCTTTTTAGTGGGCCTCCTTTCCTGAAAGGAAAGAGACCACTAATGGTCCCATCTTGTCCATCTGTGTGTTCATGTGCCACACTTTGGTTGTCTGACGATAACTAAGAAAATAGTGGCCTGACCAATGCAAAAATTGGCAAGTATGTAGATATGAACAAGATACAGGCAGAGTTCATTTTGTGGCAAATTAGCACCAAAATTGACATATTTATTGCAAATTTTGGATTTTTAAATTTTGTCATGGAAGGGAAGGCATGAGTAACTGTGAGTCCTTTAGGATCCGGATCACAATGCACATGCATATACAACCTAGGCTTTGTGCGCAGTGCCGTGTCAGCAATGAGAGCTGTCAGTTGCCTACCAACCTTTGTGGCAGATGGTTCCAAGCATGCACAATCCTCCATCCTCCCATCATCATTTAATGGGCACTATGGGTATTTTTCAAATTTAACTGAAAAACAATGTTTTTGATGGCCAGGGATTGGAAAGAGTTGGCATTTTGTTCAATTAGGAGCTAAAATGCAGGTCTCCTAAAATGAAAGGAAGTCCACTACTGGACTAGGCTTGTCCAGATTGTTTTTAATTAGCATTGTTGTAGAAAAATAGAAGAAAATGATTCTGAACTAAGATGAAAGAGTGATGGTTTTTTAAAGCATAGTTTTTTGGAAGCCAGCTTGATGCAGCAAAACATTTAAATTTAAAGATTTGCTTCAGCAGTAAAAAGTAACATATGAGTGAAGAGTGCATCAACATCACATTGTTTCGTGACTCACTCACAAAATTCCTCTCCCCTTTCAGGACCATCTTCACTGAGCCTCTGCATAATTTGAAATTCTGTTAGGGTGCTTAATTTGATGAATGCTTATCTGTGAGACCCCCATTTCTGAAGATATTGATTTATTCAGGCTGAAATGAAGTTACGAGGGCCACTCAATAAGTTATCTACCTGAATATGAAAGGGATGAGCAACAGGCCTGTGCCTGCTGTGACATGTCTCGACAGGTCTCGTGAGTGCCCCACCACTATACCAGCTCAGTGGCTCAAGTCCGTTCAAAGTGGTAGTGCATTAGATTTCTTTTCCTGAGTCTGTGTCATGGATTTGACGAAAGGCGAACATCGTTCAGTGATGAAATTCCTCACCAAAGAAGGGAAAGCACCTAAGGAGATTCATGAACGTATGTCTAACATTTATGGTGTGTCTTCGCCTTCTTATTACCAAGTTAAATTTTGGAGCAAGCAGTTTAAGTGGGGAAGAGAGTCAATCGAAGATGACCCAAGGTCGGGGCGCCCTGTGGAGGCTTCTGATCAGGAAATGTGTGACAAATTGGAGAGTGCGATACTGGAGGATCGTCGCACCAAAGTCTCTGTTTTAGCTCATGAACTGGGGATTTCAGAGGGCACAGTGATTCACATTATTCGTGAAAAATTACACATGTCCAAAGTCAGTTCTCGATGGGTCCCAAGAATGCTGACTTCAGCTCAGAAGAAGAACAGATCTGACATCTGCAAGGAAAACTTGGAGTTTTCTAAACAAATCGGGGAAACTTTTTTTCCCAGAATAGTAACTGGTGAAGAAAATTGGGTTCATCACTGGGATCCTGAAACCAAGCAGGAGTCCATGCAGTGGAAGCACAAGGGATCGCCAACACCTCGCAAATTTCGTGTTCAGAAATCTGCAGGAAAGATTATGGCCACTGTGTTTTGGGACGGCGAGGGACTACTGCTGCTTGAGTTCATGCCAGACAAGCGTACAATCACTGGTGATTCCTATGCTACCACCATGAAAAATTTACACGATGCCATCGAGGAAAAACGCAGAGGAAAGTTGTCAAGGGGGGTCCTTCTTCTCCATGACAACGTGCCCATTCACAAATCATGGAAAGTTCAGGCAGCAGTGAGGGAGTGTGGCTTTCAGGAGCTCAACCATCCTTCCTACGGCCCAGATCTGGCTCCTAGTGACTATTTTCTGTTCAGACACTTGAAAAAATTTTTGCGGTGAAAAAGATTTTCATGCAATGAAGAGCTGAAAGTTGCCATTTCTGATTGTTTTGATGGACAAGAAGTTGACTTCTATTCCCAGGGAATAAAATCCTTGGAATCAAAGTGGAGTAAGTGTGTTGAGTTAAAAGGTGACTACATTGAAAAATAAAGTGTTACTTTTCCCCTCGGATGTTTCTTTCTTATTCAGGTAGATAACTTATTGAGTGACCCTTGTATTCACATTTCCAGCCTCCAAAAATTTTCTAGCAACAAGCAAACAGATCCTTAGGTTATTGGTTATCAATCAGGATTTTCACAGATAAATCTTTTAGTCACATTACACTGACTTTCAGAACCACACATGAAAATAATCTTCACTCTTTCATCTTTGCTATAAGCCATTTTCTTCAATGATACCTATAATAAAATATATAAGTATTTAAAATTTCCCCCTATTATTCTAGACTTACAGGACACTTCACAGATTATAATACTAACAACCTATGCTATATGGGCAAATAATGCCTCTTCCCAGCATAAGCCACATTAAATATAAAAATGTATGTATCATTCATACATTCATGGCAAGCTCAATTACAGCAAAATCAACATTTGGTGCCAATTAGAAAACCTGAAAAGTTTGTTAAATTCTGAATTTGTCATTGTGGGATTTTATATTTCCACTAAAGCCATACACTGAATTACATATAGGGTAATTCAAAATAAATCCCTTTTCATTTTCAATGTGAGAACAGCAGGAACAGCAGGTTTTGCTCATGCAACCAAAAATGATAAGTTACGATAAGCTATCAGTACTAAAAAACTCTCAGTACTAAAAAAAACTATGCATATCAACATCTTCATATTCATATTTGTCAAAATCATATTTTTTGGTCTTACATCAGTATGTGCAACCTCTATAGCTGCTTCAAGAACAAAAGTGACAATTGGAAGATCCAGAACCATTCTTGGAACAACATTGAAGCATTTGTTTTTCCTTCCTGGCTCTTGAAACATTGAAATTTTCTTTACACCTTCCCTAAGAATGGCTGATGGAGCAATGAATGCCTAGATCCACATACTGATCTTGCGTCGCCCTTGTCCTGTAGAACTGGTGGAAGAAGAACAGCTACTGCTGATAGATGATGTGGAACCACAGAGCCGTGATGGATTTGTGGGCCTGGTGTTTCCCATCACAGCCTTCCCTCTTGCCCCTCCTCTCCTCATGCATCCTATACTCTGCAAATTTTGACATCAGATATGCTTTAAAGAGAAATCTATGAAGCTTTTATAGAATTTTTGGCCTTATCACACTACATAACTTAAAGACGACTCAAAGTGGGATCATGATCCAAAAATTATTCAATGGTTAAGCAAAAATAATGGACAGAATGACTGGAAATCTCACCAAATTACTTCTTAGTGGAGCCTGTGACTGAAGAGTGATTCTGGGCCTCACAATGGGGGTATTAGGTGCACTAGGTCCACGTACTGGTGTGCCCCACCATCCACCCTTCCCCACATTTCCAGAACGAATGGCCATGCTCCGTAGCAACCATGCTCGATTTGTTGGAATCTGGGGCTTCAGCTGAACTGACTGTACCATTATGGTAGACCCTTCATTAGATGCTGCCAATTCAGGGATGGGAGACTTGGGCTTCCCTAAGGACAACTTTGTCTTGTCCTCAGTCTTTTCATCAATGACTTGTTTTATTTCCAGACAAGGTTGAAGGTACAGAGGGTTACTGTTCTCACCCACACTCTTCTCCTCAGTCTGGTTCTCACTTAGTTGAGTCTCATCAACTGATTCATCCTCTGCACTGGCACATACCAAATGAGAGAGCTCCTCTTCACCTATATCATCAGTCTGGACAAACTGATCTTGAGTGAGGTCCACCTCATTAAAGGTTGACTTGTCTGGGGCTGGTGATATGGGGGAGGTCTGTGACTCAATGCTTGATTTAGGAATGGGTATTTCAAGTGAAAAAGGGAGAATAGGGGTTTCATTTGCTCCTTCATCCATTTCATCTTCAGTTTGGACAGAAGCTGATTTTAGGGTGAAGTTAATGTATCTTCTCAGAGAGCAAAAGGGAGCTGCCTTCTCAGGTTCCCCTGGTCTGGTCTCAACCTGCATGAATCCAAAATCTTTTTGTAACAAGTCTGTCATTCTGTAATACCAATCACTCTCTTATGGCATGTTTATGCTTCTATAAAGCTTTGTTCAAACCACACATTGAAATGCATAAATCATATGCTTTTATTAGAAAGAGTGAGGCTCATCTGAAGAGTATTAAGACTTTTTATCATATTCTATTAAGACATCAGGATTCAATAACTGACAACTTTTATTTGGTACTTGCCTTCTCAATGGAATCACCCTTCAGCTGCCAGAAATGGACTTCTGGCAGCATCCCACCAACTATTCCAGCCCTTCAGCAAGCCATGCAATGGATATCATTTTAACCTACTAGGTCCTAGCAAAGGTCAGTGTGGGAAAGTTGGCAACATATTTGCTATGAAGGGAAATGTTCAAGGTAGAATACAACCAGTGATCAGGACAAGGTCTCAGTGGCAGTGAAAGTGTTAACATAAGTAACCACTAAAACTCAGAAGAATTCTAAAACTTGGAGACTAAATTCAAGTGGTAACTCCAGGAATGCACTATCTGGATTAGCCCTTCATTGCCAGGGTTCTCTAACATTTGATCCATATCTAGAGATGAAAGTATTACATGCTCATGAATCTCCCTTCCCAAGAAAACTGGGGCCTTAACTTGGAAATAAAGTCTCATTTGGTTGTTTCAAACCTGAGCTCCTGTCACAGGTACCAAGTTTTCTACCAACTGGATCATTCACCTGCCAAAATGTAGCAAGATTATGCTGCTGTTGTCTGATGACTGGTGTGTGGGTAAGTTGTCATGATGAAGGGAACCTAACATGACCACATAACAAGGCAGTCTTTCTTCTTTTTTTTTTTCCCAATTGATGTAGCACTCCATCACTGTCATACATTATATGGGTCAGCACTCTATTTTACTGGTAGAATAGAGTGCTTTTCCTAACCACTCAGGTCTGCCATTGTAAGTGGTCACATTTTATTCTTTGGAATAAGGCAATTCTAATCTGCACAGCAATCATATGACAATAACTGCTACTAACACCTTGACTGCCACAGCAATATTGATCTGGTGAATTTCCTACTCAGTGAGGCACACCAGTGCAACTCATTGTGGTTGATAAGTTAGCAATCTTGGCTTCAGAGTGCTGATTTGACCAGTTCATTCATCAGTTCTTGGTCCCTCCTTGTGATTTTTTGTTATTTCCTGCTATGTAGCATTTACTCTTTGGAAATCACTGTGCCAACTTGTCCACACTGGGTTCTGCTATAACCAACTGGTAATAGCAAAGTGATACCCAGTGAACTCACTGAAGGACAATAGAAGTTGGTGGAGTGGTAGTATGTCATCATTAGTGTGCACAGTTGCAGGGTGATTGTATCAACAAAGCAAACAAAAAATAAAAGCTGTCAGTTTCTGTATATCAATGTCATCATGAGAAGTCTGCAAACTTCTATTCATTTAACCCTTTGGGGTTAGAGTATTTTTGATGAGTCAGCACTGTCACCTGAGTTTTTTCCACTTCTCCTCATGAGGCCAACACGAGATAACTCGGGCATGGACCCCAAAAGGTTAAAAAAATCCACTTACATTATAAAATATTTTCCTCTGCCAACATCAGACTCATCAAAATATTTCAGGAGAAGAATAAAAGGAAGGAACAAAGAAGAAATTACTCCTAGCCATATATAACTATGTCAACTATGCCAGCCATATATATAGGTAAGGTAAAAAGGTTGGCTTAATTAGCGAATACCCAAATGGGCAGTGAAAACCACTCTCATTTGAGGCATGCATATAGATTGAATTCAAGTAAAACAGTGACACTTAGCCTGCCTGTTGCCTTGGGTGGCTATTGCTAGGGAAGGCATCACTGTTTTACTTGAATTCAATCTATATATATATATATATATATATATAATAAGATGGACAATCACTGATAGAAGGGCTAGCCCTTGAACAGCCATGGCTCAGCACCCACGCGAGTACCTCGACAGGAAAATCGAGACTAATGTGAAAAGCCAGGCAGAAAAGGGGGTCCCGGCGGAAGAAGGCTATAAAGGAAAAGAAAGCGAAGCTCTAGGCTAGATTTTTTACGCTTTTCGACCGGCTTCGTCAGGGGGTGCACGGCCGGCCTAGAGCATCAACAGCTGTTATAACCTGTTTCTGCGGTCATCCTAGCGTGCCAGGAGTATTAGATAGAACTTGGAAGTACTACCCATTCCAAGGACAAACCCAGCTGAAGTCCTTCTGCACATGCCATCGTCTGTTAATGATTAGCTCAAAAAGTCTCGCGACAAAGCTACTGGAACTACGCTATAGGCCAAGCAGCCCACAGACGACGTTCAGCATGTACAGAGATGACGATGCCCAAATTGTCCCTGGTGAGGGAAGCCTTATTCCCACATATGGACATCTATGAATTGACCTACACCCCGACAGGTTACTAAAAGCTTTTATCCATCTAGAGATAAACAGGACGAGAAAGGAACTCGATCACCGGTATTTTAAGAAAACACTGGGAATATAAATTTGCCGCAATCCGAGCCTGTATACATGTTCGAAAACAA